GGGGCAGCTTGTTCTTCTCATGCCAGGCCTGCTGCCCCCCATAGGAGGTTCCCTTGTTCTTCCCCCTCCAGGCTCCCAGCTGCTCCATCCTGACCCCCAGCCCATGTCCCCCTGCCCGGCAGAGGGAGGTTCCATATCACCTGGAGCCACTTCTGTCTGTGACTGGGTGGAGGAGCTGAGCTAGAGGCCTGTTGCCTTTCGTGTCCTCTAACGAAGACCCCTTCCTCCAGGGCATGTACATCTTCCTGCACACAGTGAAGGGGACACCCTTCGAGACCCCGGACCAGGGCAAGGCAAGGCTGCTAACCCACTGGGAGCAGATGGACTATGGGGTCCAGTTTACGGCCTCTCGGAAGTTCTTGACCATCACACCTATCGTGCTGTGAGTGCCTGGGCTAGGGGAGGACGCCAGCAGGCAGGGCAAGGCCTGGGGATACCCTGGGGCTCAGCCAGGCCTATCAACCCCACCCAGTCCCCAGCTCTGGCCCCTGACATACAGATGAACAGAGGAGGGGAAGTCGGAGTGTCCCCGGGTCCTACACTGGGCTCAGGCCTTGGGCCTCCCTGGTCCTGCCTTTTCTTGATTGGAGCTTCCTTTCTGCTAGGGAGATGGGCCTGCAGGCCTGGCGTGCAGCGGGAGCTGGGTCTGGAGGGACCTGGGAGATTATCTTCTGGTCTGGGGATCTCTCCCATAGCTGCTCAGCTGTCAGGAATCTGCCTCTCCCACCCAGGAAGTGAGGGAAGAAGGGGTCCTCCAAACAGTCTTTATATCTCTCCCCAACCTTCCCCCCAGGTACTTCCTCACCAGCTTCTACACTAAGTACGACCAGATCCATTTCATCCTCAACACTGTGTCCTTGATGAGCGTGCTTATCCCCAAGCTGCCCCAGCTGCACGGAGTCCGCATTTTTGGAATCAATAAGTACTGAAGGCGCAGCCTCCGCCCCTGCCCAGGCTGGCAGGGGAGGGCGGGAGGCCTGCGCTGGATGCCGAAGATGGAAGGAGCCCCTGGACACTGCCGGAGATGGGGGTTGAGCCGCTGGGCCTAGTTTCCCCCTCGCTTCCCCGAGTAGCCAACCTGGAGTAGCTTGTAGTGGGGTTGGGGTGGGCCCTCCTGGGCTCTGACCCCTTCTGATTTGTTTTTTTTTTTAATCTTTTCCTTTTGCCTTTTGAATAGAGACTCCATGGGGGTGGTCACGGAATGGGCTGGGCTCCTGGGCTGAGCATGGACGACCATGGGACAGGAGGCCGGGGAAATCCCCCTGCTCACTTGTGTACCTTCAGGCGGCCAGAGCACTTTAACCCCTGCGAGGGGAGCAGAGGGGCGGTACAGCTTCTGGACTGTTCCGCTTTGATTCCCAAATCTTAGCATGGCACGCAGCGTGTGCTTGTATGTACGAAAGCAAGTGTGTGAGGGCCTCGCCCCTCTGGGTAGAGAGCTGCCCAATCCAAGTCTCAGGCTTCTGGCAGCTTCCCTACAGCCCATGCCGGGTCCTGGTTAGGAGTGGGGAGGATGAGGAGCGCGAAGGTAGGGAAGAGTGTGGATGGCCTGATCCCAGAGGGAAGGGGGCCAGGGCCGCTGCCATCCTGGCCCTGGTGGAGGTTGGGAAGTGGGGCGGGGGGGATAGTGAGTTGAGACACGAGAATGGGGGAGAATGGGGTCGCATAGCAGCAGAGGATTGGTGTAAGGGAGGGGGGTGGGGACAGAAGTAGACTCTGCTCTGAGATGCGGGTGGGGAGGGCAGCTGGGCAGGGTTAATTTACCCACAACTGCGATGGTAGTAATAGGGAAGGGAGGCTCCCGTGGGCTTGAAGCTCCTGGGCTGGGTGAGGGAGTAGACAGGGGAGGAAGAGGCCCGCGAGTCATCGTAAGCACAGGTCCTGTTTGGCACTGTCTCCGGCAGCGGTGTTAGCAGTGTGGGGAAGCTTTGACAGAAGTGGTGGATGGTGTGGCCCACTGCGACCCCTCGCCCCCTAACCTTGTGCAGACTGGCACTGAGGCAGGGCCTCTCGTGTGGCCTGCACCTGGGGGGCTATCAGGCCGCCCCCACATGGGGGCAGTGGACTAGAGAGTCCTGCAGGACCCCCCAGCAGGGCAGTGGAGGGAGCAAGGAGTGGCCTGTGGGCGCTGTCTCTGCAGCCTGAGCACAGGCTGGAGAGGAGCCTTCTCCCCTCCCAGGCCGCCTAGGGGGTGGTGTGACTTTTGAAAAGGTGTGGGTACCCGTGTCCTCGCCCAGCGGCCTGAAGGAGGAGAGGAGGTCACTGGCCCTGTTTTCTGTCTCCTGGCCCTTCACCCCACACCCCATGTATCATAGGGAACTTTCACCTCAAAATCTTTCTAAGCAAAGTGTGAATAGGATTTTTACTCCCTTTGTACAGTATTCTAAGAAATGCAAATAAAGGATAATGTGTTCCTGTTTTCCCCTGTCTGGCCTCTGCTTCCTGGAGGGCCCTGGGGAGGGGGCAGGGACGTGGGCATCAGTGAAGCCCTCTGACTGGACCGCAGGAGGACTCTGGGACTGCTGGTCTTTGTACTGCCCCCAGCAGAGAAATCCCTTAAGGGGCCTGTGAGGGAGCAGAATTCTCTGTGCCCTTGCCTGGCTGTTCCTCTGACAGGCCTTGCACCTCTGGGCTCCGCAGGCTGGGGTGGCCTGTGCCTTGGCAGGGAGGGGTCAGTCTTGCAGGGGTCTACCAGTGGAGCCAATGTCCTGAGGGGTGCCCTGTCTTTCCCGCTGAATCCCCCAGGTCCCTTCCCCAGTTTCTCACTTCTCTCCCCAGGGCCTTCCCTCGGTCACTTCTGCCCCAGGAGGGCGGCATTTCCTCCTGGCCTTTCTGTCCAGGGCAATTTCCACACTTCCTCCTTCTACCATAAGCATGAGTAGGAGGGGAAGAGAGAATCCCTCAAGACTGAGGCTCTCATGGGCAGGAGAGACAGGAGTCCTATCATGGAGGAATCCCAATCTCTTGAGGACATTGGCCTTCCAGCATGTTCTGTGCAGTATCATCCGCTATCTCCAGAATGGGTACAAAGTCCCAGGTGAAAGGGAGGTGCTGGCCTCAGCAGCTGGGGCTCCTCTCTGGCCCTGGTCCTCGGGTTGGGTGTTAGGAAGAGTGTGGGATCCTTGCCCAAATCCAGCCACCATCCCCCTCCCTGAGTAGGGCCCGAATTGTACTGGGAACAGAAATGCAGCCACTGGGCTCAGTCCTGGGAGTGGGGGTGTCCTGGTTGCTTTCACGGGCCTGCAAGAGTACAGGCAGGGTGAGGCGCTGGGGCACATCAGCAACCATCTGGGTTCAAATCCCAACTCTGCCACTTACTAGCCACATGGGCTTGTCAAGTTACTTCTCTGAGCTTCAGTTCCTTCCTCTGTTGTATAAGGATAATCCCTCTTAGGGCTGTTGTGAGCATTAGCACGTTGCCTGGCAAGTAGGAAATACTTAATGCTTGGCAGCCATAGTATTACTATAATCGCTACCACCACCACCATCATCTCCTTAAATGTTCTTTCAGAACTGAGGCAGGCACAGGCCAGAAGACAGGCTGGGCTTACTGGGTGGTTGTCTCTGAGAGAGGACAGAGGGGTGGTGCAGAGCCTCTCTCTGGAGGAGGCAGGTGGAGAGGTAGGTGGCACACAGCTAGGGAAGGTCCGCATCTCCCCGAGGGGTGTGGAAGCATGTGGGGGTGGGCCCGGGTGCTCTTACAGGCCCAGCCTGTTTCCTGCTGGTGTTAGCTGCCGTTGTTCCACGTCTTCACTGTTGCCAGCACAGCATGGCACATGTGGGTAGCTGGTTCCAGCCAGGTTACTGTCCTCATAGCCCCGGTATAGCCATAGCCATTGTCTGCTGGCACTTGGCTGATACCCACCTGTGTTCCAGTTCTCTATTCCAAACTCCCTGGATTGCATGGCCCAGCGTGCCTCGTTCTGTGTCATTCTCTGGCCCAAACCCACCTCGAATATACATCAGGATCTCCCACCTGCTCCTTGGGTCCAAGAGGAAGGAAGGGGTTCTGGCCTTATCTGCCTTAAGCTCAGTCATAAAGTTTGCTTATCTAAAGGCCTGGTAGGTGGGGCACCCAGTCCCACCCAGCCTTCCAAGAAGTACTCTCCTGGAGAACTTTCAATTCCATTATTAGAGATTCCCGAGACGCGGAGACCAGGAATGTGCAGAGATCTGACAGAGGGGATTCTTAACAACCTTCATTTCTGGTGAACAGCTAAGAACAGAGAGGTGGGTGGCCCCTGAGATGGGCCTATGGTTCGTGGGCACTGTCTTTCCAGACACCTAGAAGAATTCCCAGGTTGGGAGTGAGTTGAGAGTTGGCCACCGTGATGGGGGCAGGGACAGAGAAGGAGCAGCAGGTAGGTAGGTGGCTGGACCAGGAAGAAAGGATGTGGGGGAAGGTGGCCAGAGGTAGGATGGGGAAGTGGATCCCAGGAAGCTTTTGTTTCTTTGGAGTCCAACTTACTGCCATCTCATTGGGAAATGGTTGGTAGGGAGGCGCCCATCCAACTACCTTGCAGAATCCAGCGAGGGAGGGAGCCCAGGAGTCAGAGCCAAGGGAAGAGATAACCAGTTAGGGTTGGTAATGTGAGGTCTGGCAGCCATGCTCCTCATCCTTCCCTCATTCTTCTCTTTTTCAACATGGGAGAGAGTCTGGCTGAGGGACAGTGGGCCTGCCAGACCACCTCAGGCCCTTGGAACAAGGTGGTAACTCTGCTGTGGGAGATGAATGAGTTTTTCCGTCTTTGCTCCAGTTGGGTTCTATGAGGGGCAGAGGAGAATCTGGGATCTGTGATGTTTACCCTCCTTAATGTGTCATGGCTGCCTCACCTTCTAGAAACAGGGAAGGTAAACCACCATAGGTCCTGGTCATCCTGGAACCTTTGGCTCTTCCTTGACTCCAGGCTGCCAAACGTAGAAGATTTAAAAACCTGAACCAATACCCTATCCTCCCCAAAACTGAAATTGTCTTCTCTTTCCCAGTTGTTCCAGGGACAATGCCCAGTGTGTTTGAGGAATTCATAAGAACTGTAGTCCAAGAGATGGATCCCGGAGGGGATATGATTCCTGTCAGAAGCGTCATCGATGCTGACAGATTCTACTGTTTCTGTTTGGTGAGGGAGAAGAGAAGTTTCTTGGGAAGCTGGTACTACAGGACAGACCTCACCTTGATGGACATACTGGAGAGACGGGAGGGTGAAGGGCCCTGCGATGAACTGGATTCTGGGCTCCAAGGTCAGTATGAGGTGGATGAGAGATGGCCATCCAAGAGGGCTTGCCCACTTGTACTCCTTCCCATTCTCAATTCCCCATGGCCATCGGCCAAGTCAACCAATCAACAAAGAAACTGTAGAATTTGTACGAGCACATCCGCTCACCTTAATCTAAGAAATGCACAAAAGGGCTGCATGGGAGGAGGTGTGTGGGGGAAGTGGAGATTTATTCCTATTGGAAACTATTCCTAAATAGTTTTTCTTTCCCATTTTTTCCCTTTATAAATAATTTGCTTTTAAATTAGTTGAGCTCTTCTCATGTGTTTACGTGTTTATCATCTAAATGGATTGTAAATGGAGGCAATTTGCTTGATGGTTAAGAAAGGATTTAGATTTTAAAGCTAGAGGTCCTTGGTTTCCAAGCCTAGCTCTGCCACTTACCAGCTGGATGACCTCTGGACAAGTTGCTTCATCTCTCTAAGTTTCAGTGTTTCCTCATCTGTCAACTCTAGAAGACTATTGTAAGAATCCAGTGAAAATAAATTACATAAATTATCTGTCATAGTGCCTGGCACAAAAGGAGCACGAATAAAAGTTAGCTCCAATCATTCTGGTGGTGGCAGCAATTATTATCATCCTCTCTTGTTCCCTGGATATCGTGACTGAAAGGGAAGTTGCCGATGAGCAGAAATCCCTGAGGATTGAAGGGATTTATGGAAGAGTCAATTAATCCCTCCCCCTGCCTGTGATCTCAGCTATTCCTGGGATTTCTTGGGTTTCAGAAAACCCAGGATAAGTGTTGTTGAACCCTCACTTGGAGACCTATTTCAGTGAATTATAGTGAGGAGTTCATTGCATTTTATAATGGAAAAAATTTTCACAATATGAAAAATGGTGAGGAGTTTCATAGCTCAGACCTCTCTGATGTAGCCCATTTCTTTTTATTGGGTCTCATACCAAGAGATGGAAAAGAGTTCTAACAATACCACCAAACAATTTTAGAGCACCTAACATGTGCCATGCATTGCTGTGAGTGACCAAGAGCAGTACCCAGATTATTTGGAGGGGGTGGGTCTTTCCACAAGTGGAGTTTAATTAAGCAAGCAAGGGGTGTGAGGAGAAATTTCAAGTTAGCATTTTTCAAAGACTCTGAGTCAATTTTCTGAATAGCAAATTGCCAAGAGCCAATTTACTAAAAGTCAAGTCTCAAAAAATAAGTTTACCAAATGATCATATTCACTGAAAATAGAAAAATACTTTAACCTGGGACTGTGATGTTTTTGCCAGGGACAAGATCAAAAGTATAAGTCTGGGCCGGGCGCGGTGGCTCGCGCCTGTAATCCTTGCACTCTGGGAGGCCGAGGTGGGCAGATTGTTTGAGCTCAGGAGTTTGAGACCAGCCTGAGCAAGAGCGAGACCCCGTCTCTACTAAAAAAAATAGAAAGAAATTATCTGGACAACTAAAAATATACAGAAAAAAATAGCTGGACATGGTGGCACATGCCTGTAGTCCCAGCTACTCGGGAGGCTGAGGCAGAAGGATCGCTTGAGCCCAGAGTTTGAGGTTGCTATGAGCTAGGCTGATGCCACGGCACTCACTCTAGCCAAGGCAACAGAGTGAGACTCTGTCTCAAAAAAAAAAAAAAAAAAGGTATAAGTCTGGAAAAAAATTTGACTAAGTTAACTTTCTTTAAGGAAAAACCCATCTGTTTACATACAAAATTCAGAGGCAGAGGTGAAATCAGACTTAAAAAAAAATCCTCATAATGAGGTGAGTTAGTAATTTGCATTGATTTTCAGCAATTTGGCCTGCTCCCTTTTCGAATGGATTATTTATTTTTTAACCATATAGTGCTGACAGTGTGGTTAGGTTATTTTTTTAATTAAAGTCCATACTTTATTCATATTATCTTAGTTTTTACTTAATGTCCTTTTACTATTCCAGAATCCTATCCAGGACACCACATTGCATTTAGTTGTCATGTGTCCTTAGGCTCCTCTTGGCTGTGACAGTTTCTTAGACTTTCCTTGTTTTTGATGACCTTGGCAGTTTTGAGCAGTAATGTCCTTCTATTAGAATTTGTCTGACATTTTTTTCTCCTAGTTAGACTGGGGTTCTGGGTCTTGGGCAGGAAGACCACAGAGGCAAAGTGCCATTCTTATCACATCATGTCGAGGGGACACATTATCAACATGACTCACCACTGTTGATGTTGACCTTGATCACCTGGCTGAGGTAGTGTTTGTCCACTGTGAAGTTACTCTTTTTTCCCCTTCTCCATACAGTACTCTTCGTGTACCTAGTTTTTATTTTTCTTTTCTCTCTGATGAAGTACATGCAAACTTTTACACTGCTCAAGAAACAAATGGGCCCTAAGACATTAGTGTCACGTGTGCAGTGCTGACTTCAGGCACTGTTTCCACCAGTTCCAAAATGGATTTTTCTTTGGAAATCCAGCCTGCCCCCAGCTCTGCGTTCTCTGTCGGTTCCCACTTGGGAGGTCTGGGAGAAAGGCACGTGTCCCTTCAGCATGCCCACACACCCGCCACTAACCCTGGGTGGCAGCCGACTCAGAGTCAAGGCCCTTATTAGTGCCTGAACAGTTGGGCAGAGTGCACATGTGAGGGCGAGTTGCCAGGATTGCCTCGTTTTGTGCCTGCTGGGCTCATGCAGACCACAGACAGAACTGCTCGATTTCTATTTCCCAACTGGCAGGGGATCCTACTTCTTTAGCTTTACTTTTCCTTGTCTCATTTTGGCCTCTCGATAGTTAAATAGGACTAGCTCACAATTATTGAGCACTTAAGAATGTGTGCCAGGCACTTTGTTCAGTGCTTAACTGCATTATTTTATTTAATTTCCCTAAGCATAGGAAGTAGGTACTATTAATATTCTCCTTCTATAGGTGAAAAACAAATTCAAAGAGGTTGAGGCCCAGGAGGTGGCTCATGCCTATAATCCTAGCATTCTGGGAGGCCGAGGGGGGAGGATTGCTTGAGCTCAGGAGGTTAAGTGATTCACCCAAGATCATTTGGTAAGAAGGTGGAAGAGTGGGCTCGAACCTGCGATGGGGTGACCCCGGAATGCCTCTGCCTCTGGTGAGAACAGCACTTCCTGGGGAGCCAAGGCTGGGAGGCTCCCTCAGAAGAGAGGGGGATGGTCGGGGGGAGCTCAGGATGGGGCTGCTCCAGGGAGGGTTTTCCAGAGAGATCTTTTGGGTCAGCTCTGGTGTGGACTTTATCCTTCTCCTTCTGGGTCAAAAGGCTGAGTTCCAAATTCTAGACAAGGTGGACTCAAAGGGAAAGTTGATAGTGAAATTACTCAAATAACAATCGCAGGGGAACTCCAGGGGTCTCATGAGCAGAAAAGCAAGAAATTGAAGAACCAGATATCCCAGCAATATCTGGATACCCTTGAGAACAGGTGAGGCTGGAGTTGGGAAGCAGTGGGCAGGGAGGAGGGAGAAGCCCTGAGCACCAGGGCATCCAAGGGCTGTGGCACCAGCTCTCTAGTGCAGCCTCCCACTGCCTGCTCCCGGCGCTCCCGACCCCCTCCTTTACCCAAGCACGCCTCCCTCGCCTCTGCCTTCAGGAAGGCCTCTCATTCTTCCAGGAGCAGCCTCCAGGAAGCCTTCTGATGTCCGAATACACTCGCGTCCCTGCTGCCCTCCAGGGCAATTAATTACTCTGACTTGGACAAACCTGCTGGTGTTAAGAGGCTACTCTCCTTACTCTCCTGTACCGAGTTGCCCAATCCAGTATTTTGTGCTAGTTTCATTGTTCCCGGAGGGCAAGCCCGTGGTTTCCATGTTTGTCTTCCCCACTGGACTGGGAGCAACTCGTGACAAGGGACTGACTAACTTTACTAACTTCTCTCTACTGACGCCCGGCACACAGCGGGTACTCAGTAAAAGAGCTGAAGTGAAGCACAATGAAATCAGAGCACCCCTTGTAGAGCACTTCCTGTGCAGAGAGTGCCACCACTCCACCCAGCAGGGTGGCACTAATCAAATGCCACCGAGGTTCTGACAGCTGGAGAACGTGGTGCTTCCAACTTAAGGGGGCATCACTAGCTGTCCCCTGACGGAATAGTTTTGTGGTTGGTGTCGGTGTTTTCTTCCTCAGCTGGGATTGCTGGAGATTGAGGGGTAGCTTGGGGAAAGGTGTGCTGCAGTTCTCTTAGGCTCGCTTTCCCTGAGTGGGGTGGGTATTTTTTCTTTCTCTTTTTAAATTAAAGACTGAAAGGCTTACAGTACAATTTTACTGGTCTCTTGAACTACCCCTTCATGCCACAGTATCGCTTCAGAGTTTTTCTAAGGGAGCTCAGTTTTTTCCAGAACGCCTGTTGTTTCTAGGGTGAGGGTGCTGGTGTCTGTATATGGGTGGGGGGCACTGGGTAGGTAGGGGAAGGTCATCGGAGTCAGGGATGCATGTCTTCCCTTAGGGTCTTTTGGTTGCAAATAGCAGAAACTCCATCAGACTGTTCGTTATGGAATCAGATGCCTCGTGAGCCCAGGGGCAGCTTGCTCCGGTCCGTGGAGCAAGCTGCCGGAGCCCCTTGTCAGAGAAGAGGGTGTCTTGGGCTCGTCAGCTGCCTATCTCAATATCATGAGAAGGCCACACACTTTGGACTTACATAGACCAGGGTTTGAATCCCAGCTCTACACTTACTAGCTGTGTGACCTTGTACCATTCACAACCTGTCATGAAGCCTCAATTTCGTCACATGAAAAATGGATGCAATGCTGCCTGTGTCCCAGGATTATGGTGAGGGTTAAATGGAATGACGTGTGAAGCATCTCAGAGCTGGCACATTGTAATCTTTCATAAATGCTCGTGAGTTCTCCTCCCACTTGGTACCGCCTCCCCCCTGCCCCCCGGGGTAAACTGCGATGGGGGGCTGTGTTCCTTGGTTTTCCAGCCTCAGAAGCACTTAATCTCAAATAGGAACTTGCTGATGGACAGGGAGAGTGTCACTGAGAGGTGGGTCCCTGAGATTCTGAACTCCCATCCCTTTCCACTCGCTCCAGGCAGCTGAAGAAGAAACTACCACCTTCGTTTCAATCAATTCACACAAAGAGAGAAGACCTGTATCTGGTGACAGAAACTCTGGAGACAGCAAAGGAGGAAACCCTGAAAAGTGAAGGGCAGTGTGGATTTTTGAGCCAAATCTATCAGGGCCATCTCAACTATCAACGAAAGTTTATGATCCTGGGAGGCAGGGATTGTGGGAGAGCCAGCGTTGGCCACCCCCAGCAGGTCAAGGGGATGCGAGCCCAGACTCTAGGCTCTTCAGCTCTTCCTTCAGACCTCTCTGAGCAGCAGGGGCTGCTCCTTGGCCTTCTCGCCCCAACAAAGGGTGAGCGGCATTACCCAGTCTCTCCCTCGTTACTCTCTAGTGATACCCTCTTTTCATTTTTTTCATAGCACTTCCCATGGTTCATAATTACGCCGGTGTTTTCTCTTGCTTGTTCGTTGTCTGCCTTCCTTTCTAGAAGGCAAGAGGACAGGAGGCACAGTGCCTAGAACAAAGTGTGTCCTCAATAAACATTTGTTGAATGAACAGTGGCAACTTGTGGTTTGGTGTCAGATGTGGGTTCAGATTTCAGCTCTGCCACTGTTTTTAACTGTGAGACTGACTCATCTACTTACCTCTCAGAGCCTCAGTTCTCTCATCTGAAAAATGGGGATAAAAATGTCTACCTCATAGGATTGTTTGGGAGCTCAGGCAAGATAACTATGTGAAGCATCTAGGGATCCATCAATGTGAGCTTATTTTTCCTAGCACCCAAGGGAAGTCACCATCCCCCCCGAATCGGGTCCTGGGCTATCGAATAAAGCAGCTCGTCTTCCCCAATGAGGAGAAAATGAGTAAGCGCGGCCTGGTGGGAGCAAGGGGAGGGGGAGCCTGAACACATGGTGGGGTGGAGGTGGATTCAGCCAGGCTCTTTGTCAGCTTAGGGTGGGTGGCTGGTGAGCTTGGAGGTGGGGAGAGGGCTCCAGGGAAGGGGGAGGGTTTGGGACAGGGAAGAAGGATGAGGCTCCATTCTCTGACCTGGTGACCCAGACCTAGCGACCCAGACCTGGCTGACCAGGATATGCCTCACCGTGGCACCAACCGTTCCCTGGAGGTGTTAATTCTCATTTCAGTTTCCAAATAGTTCTCTCTCCCTTTTTTTTTTTTTTTTAATTTTTGGTTGAAGGCAGAAAACGGGAACTTACAGAGAGTGTACTCGTCTCTCTCTCATTCTTTCTCTCTGTCTCTCCCTCCTTTTTGGTGCCGGTTTAGGTATTTGTTTCTGGGGCAAAACAAAATCCTTTCCAGAAGGTGAGTGAGCTGCTGGTCCTACTGTTCGTCATTTCAGAATGGGCAGGGATACTACTTTTATTTGTTTTTTATTTTTTTATTTTTTTTTGAGACAGAGTCTCACTCTGTTGCCCTGGCTAGAGTGAGTGCTGTGGCGTTAGCCTAGCTCACAGCAACCTCAAACTCCTGGGCTCAAGCAATCCTACTGCCTCAGCCTCCCAAGTAGCTGGGACTACAGGCATGCGCCACCACGCCCGGCTAATTTTTTCTATGTATATTTTTAGTTGTCCAGATAATTTCTTTCCATTTTTTTTTTTAGTAGAGATGGGGTCTCGAACTCCTGACCTTAAGTGATCCACCCGCCTCGGCCTCCCAGACTGCTAGGATTACAGGCTGAGCCACAGCGCCCAGCCAAAGGATACTACTTTTAAAAAGAGGATAACAGACGACCTGGAGTTACAGAGTTGTTAGGGCTAAGAATGCAGTAGGATGCACCCAGAGGTGGGAACCATGGTGAGAGCAGGAGAAAAATCTGTTTGTTGGAGAAGCAATCTGCATTGAATGTTGGACTAGGGTTTCCAGGCTGCTCCTAGGACAACTTTGTCTTGCTTTGTGCTGGGCAGTCTGCTGGGTCCTGGCTTACAGTCCTCACTGAAGGCTTATTGGCCTAGGAAGCACAATTGAATTACCTGGCCAGTTCTCACATGACAGCACCGGCTATGACAAGAGTATACTGGGCTGGAGTTGGACCGGCTCAGGGTCTAGTCCCACTCTGCTACTCTTTAGCTCTATAGCCTCCCAAGTCAGTTTTCCTAACTTTAAAATAAAGGGGTTAGACTAGAAGATCCTTGTGATTCTGAATGTGGCTTCCTCTGGAATTTCTAGGTTTTTCCCTAGATCCCAGCAGGGTTATACTGCCTAAGAGACATTGGGAAGGGATGGAGAGAGGTCTGACCCAAATTTGCTGGGTGATGGAATATATGGTGCACTCTGTCTGGGCCTTGGCTGCTTCTTCGTTCGTCTAGGCATAATCCCATCGCTGCCTATCGAAGATATGGGAAGGGGCCTGTAAATATAGAGCTTTCCGATTGACACATAATAATGAGGATGCAGGCTTCCTGGCGTGGGCAGAGAGGGCTTGGAGTGCAGCAATGAAAACTTCCATCACTGCAAAAAGAATGTGTACGAGGGGGCTGGAGGTGACCTGAAGACACTGTGAAATAATTCTTCCTCTCTTGCAGAGAAGGGTGGTGGTTCATCCTGTTTAGGTAAGGATGGTTACCAAGTGTGTTCAGGGTGGCTGCACCCATCCAACTGTGAGCCCACCTGGCTCAAGACTGCTGCTCAGATGGGGTCAGCTGAGTGGGTATGGAGAGGGGCAGTGCCCAGCAGGTTTCAACGTTAGTCTGGAAATTGCATCTGTCCCCTCTAAATGCAGTGGTTCTCATTGGTTGTACACTGACATCACCTAGGGGAACTTTATTTATTTTAGAGATGGGGTCTTGCTATGTTGCCCAGGCTGGTCTCAAACTCCTAGGCTCAAGCCATCCTCCCACCTCAGCCTCCCAAGTAGCTGGGACGACAGGTGCACACCACCATGCCCAGCAAGGGAACTTTAAAACTAGTGACATCTGAGTCCCTTCTCCAGAAATTCTGACTTAACTGGTCTGGGGTGTGGCCTGGGCATCAGGATTTGTAATAACACTCCAGGCGATTCTCTTGCACAGTCAAGGTTGGGAACTACTGCTTTGACTTTCTCTAAATCCTCATTACTCCTAGTGTGGCCTGAGGACTGCACTTTAAATGGCAAGGATGCACCCAGAGGTGCATAAATAACCAAGTTTTGTTTTTTGACCTGGAGGTGGAGAAGAATTTGGGTTGGGGCTAGATTGAGGGTGAGTTGCGGAAAGGGAAGTGGGGTCAGTGGGAGGCAATGATGGCAGGTGTCTGGGAAGAAGCGTACTTCATTTAACAGGAGAAGCCTGGAAGAAGGGAAGAAACAGGGAGGTGGTCTCCAGGAGACAGGCAAACAAATAATGGAGACTTAGCAATAAAGCTTGTTGGAGTGTTACAGCTCTTTTAGAATTTGTCTAGCAGGTTTTCCTGTCCTTACTGGAAGACCCCCCTCCCCACCCTAAAAAAAATAAAGCTTGTTGGCTGGGTGGGCCAGGTTCTTAATTGCTGCCTCTACAGGGAAGTCCTTGAGTTCGGAGGATTCCAGAAACATGAAGGAGAAGGTGCAGGACATGGTGAGAAGCCTCCAGGGTCTGATGGAGGAGGAGCGAAGAGATGTGCTAAGCTGCCTCACAAAGTGCCTCAGCAAGGATGAGCATCTGCAGGATCTAGAGCAAAGAGTAAGGGACCCCAAGACAGGGCTGGGGCAGAGAAAGAGGAGCGGGAGGAAGGCAGTCAGCATAATGAAGACAATCTGCTACGGCAAGACTAGTGCTCAGCTTCCCCATCTCCTGGCCCCAGGTGTCTGACGCCCTGATCTCTGGAGAGCTGCAGATGGAGGGCTCAGCAGGTCCTCTCCTGAGCAGCCTTTTAATACTGCTGGGATCCTGGTAGAAGCGCATGCAGAAGCCAGTCTGGACTTCCTGGATGCCTTGATAGGTAAGGAGGGTCTGGCTACATGGTGGAGGAAGTGCTGAGCAGAGAGGCCTGTGGGGAACCAAATCTTGGGAGGAGGGGGCGCATGTTGCCCTGCACACTTCGTGAGGGACAGCTTTCCCATTTCAGAGACTAGTCATCTTCCTCAGGCCAGGCACTGAGAGGCTGCCGCCTCTTCCCCCTTGGTATAGTCTATGACCTCCTGAAGGCTAGGAGGGAAGCAGGAGCCACAGCAGGAGCCCATTTAGAATAACTCTCATCTAGCACTCCCAGGGGCTCTCTGGAACCTTCTGATGACACATGTTCTTGACCTGATCAGCTACTGAAGCCCTGTCCCACAATGTGCCTTTTCTTTCTGCCAACCACCCTCTTTTTTTGGGCCCAGAGGTGTCTGAGGAGAAGCAGCTTGTGGCTGAGGCCCTGGAGAAAGGGACCCTGCCCCTGTTGAAGGACCAGGTGAGACAGCCTGGGCTGAGGGCCAGGGTCATAGTGGAAGTGAGTAGCTATGTTCTCAAGCGACCCAGAAGTCCCAGGGTACAGTCCCTTCTTGCTCCATAGTTCTCTGCCAGCTCACATCCCTGCAGCTGGTTTGTGACAATTCCCTGGATGCACAGTTGCCAGGACAACTTGGGGTGGGTTCTTTAGGCTTTGTTGCTTGCCTATGGGCAAAAGTGGGGTGGCAAATGTTAGTCCCAGGGTGGCAGCTGGTGTGATCTCGAGTGCCAGTGTCCAGTGTCGATGGATTAGCCCTGCCTGCCACTATGTTGGGAGAGTATGAGGCTCTCCATGCGCTGCAGGAAGGAGCGCCGTGATGGATCACTACATCTGCCCGTGGGCTCAGGATTGAGGAGTGTGGCCAAGTATTTGCCATTTCTGGTATATCGTTGTTCACAGCTTTTGCAGTCTGGCGGATTTCCTTCCAGGTGGAGTCCATCCTGGAGCAGGTCTGGGATAAGCAGGCCAGCAATGCTCATGACATGAGCTGTGACCCTGAGACACGAACCTTCTGTGCCCTCTATGTTGCTGTCTCCATCCTGCTGCAGCTGTGTTCGGAGCCCACCTCTGCCTCTTCCTAACTACAAAAGCCCTAACCCTTCTCCCCACAAGCCTCTGGGGTTTCCCCTCCGCAGTCCATCCTCATTGCCACTACCATCTCCACCGTCTTTCACCAGCAGGACCTCTTTAAAACAAGCAGCTGACCATCCTTTGATGCTTCCCATTCCCTACATGTTAATGTCCGAAATCAGCCTGGATTTTATGCATGAACTTCTGATTAAAAGTCACAGATTGAACATATTAATTTCTTTTCCCTCTTGAAACCTCACCAAATGACAGTAAAGCAATAGAAAAGCTTGGTAGGCTGGGCACAGTGGCTTATACCTGTAACCCAGCACTTTGGGAGGCTGAGGCAGGAGGACTGCTTGAGACCAGGAGTTGGAGACCAGCCTGGACAGTGAGGCCCTGTCTCTATGAAAAATTTTAAAAACATTAAAAAAAAAAAAGAAAAGCTTTGTTTAAATCTAGAAGCATAAAAAGAATGTGGCAGCAGATAAGAAATTATAAAACATCTTTGGAAGATAGAAAGCAATTAAAAGAGTGCAAGCTGGGAGGTGTAGGACTGAGAATAGGGGAAGGAGACTGCTGTTTTTGTCATAAGCCTTTTAGTTCTATTTGATATTTTTAAAAAAAATATAACTAAAAGTTAAATGTATGCTTTTATAAAGCATTTCAAACATTTCTCAAATATAAAGCAGAAGGTCAAAGTACTTTGTGACCTCTTCTTCTTTTTATGGAGACCGAGAAAGGTAAGTGAAGTATCAGGACACTAAAGTAACTTTGCCCTAGGTGATGACAGGATTAATATTTTCTTTCTTTTTTTTTTTGAGACAGAGTCTCACTCTGTCACCAGGTTAGAGTGCCGTGGCATCAGCCTAGCTCACAGGAACCTCAAACTCCTGGGCTCAAGTGATCCTCTTGCCTCAGCCTCCCGGGTAGCTGGGACTGCAGGTATGTGCCACCATGCCTGGCTAATTTTTTCTGTTTTTAGTTGTCCAGCTAATTTCTTTCTATTTTTAGTAGAGATGGGGTCTCACTCTTGCTCAGGCTGGTCTCGAACTCCTGAGCTCAAGCAATCCTCCTGCCTCGGCCTCCCAGAGAGCTAGGATTATAGGCGTGAGCCACCACGCCCGGCCAGGATGAATATTTTCAAATCCAGGCAAAGTGGGTTTCAGTTTGACCAGCTTCCTGGATTGATGTTTCCAGAAGCCAAAGCCAAGGGCCTATCCAAGGTCAGGAATCTAATAAAAAGGAGACTTGGGCAGGGAGGGGGGGCAAGGGCAACATACGTAACCTAAACATCTGTACCCCTATAATATGCTGAAATAAAATAAATAAATAAAAAAAAAAGAGATTTTCCCCACTGTGTTAGATGGTAATCTCAAAGGGCTACATTGTAATGATTAGGGTGAATCACCCAGGGCAGTGCAGGGAAGACTCTTGGTACTGACTGAACAAGAGGTTAACAGAAGGAAAGGAAAAAAAATTCTGAGAAATTATGGCTATAGCCTACTCTTTTCACAGAGCTTAGCCTGTGTTTGCATCATCTGAGCATTTCAGGGAATTTCAAATTGTGAACTTGGTTTGTGAGGGTCTTGGATTGATTTTACTCCCAGATGCATGTCAGAAGCAAACACATCATTTCTGGAGGAAGTCATCTTCCACAAATAATTTTTTAAGGACAATGAGTGATTCCCAGTTAAAAAAACTCCAAAGCATTCCAGGAAACACCACCATGAGCAAGAATGAGCAGAAACAACAGACAGTAGAAAAAGATACATGAAGACATGAAATGGTGAAATTATTAGATTATGAAAACATGCTTATTATGTTTAAAGAAATTTAAAAATGAACTTGAAAATACCAATAACATGAAGAATACTATAGAAGGTGACCTATTATATTTGAAAAAGAACAAAGTAATACTTTTAGAAATTACATAGCTGAGGAGGGAGTTATTGAAATAGAAGAAAAATCAGAAAAAACTCTCAAAACTGTAGTACAGAGAGACAAAAAGACAGTGACTCTGGAATGAGGTCGAGAATCATGGAGGAGGCCGGGCGTGGTGGCTCACGCCTGTAATCCTAGCTCTCTGGCAGGCCGAGGCGGGTGGATTGTTTGACTCAGGAGTTCGAAACCAGCCTGAGCAAGAGTGAGACCCCGTCTCTACTAAAATTAGAAAGAAATTAATTGGACAACTAAAACTATATAGAAAAAATTAGCCGGGCATGATGGCACATGCCTGTAGTCCCAGCTACTTGGGAGGCTGAGGCAGGAGGATGGCTTGAGCCCAGGAGTTTGAGGTTGCTGTGAGCTAGGCTGACGCCACGGCACTCACTCTAGGCCGGGCAACACAGTGAGACTCTGTCTCAAAAAAAAAAAAAAAAAAAAGAATCATGGAGGATAGTGTGACAAGATCTAAAATATGTTCAGTCAGAGTTTCAAAAGAAGAAGAGAGTGAGATTAAGGCAGAAACAATATTTGAAGAGATAATGCGCAAGAATATTGCAGAGCTAATTAAAGATGGCAAGGCACAGATTTAGGAAGTTCCATGAATCCCAAGCAGGATACATAAAAAGAAATCCATAAATAAAGAGAAATCTAGACAAATCATAGTAAAATTGCAGAACAGCAACAAAGATAAAAATCTAAAAGCAGCCAGAGAAAAAGATAGCTTATCTTCAAAGGAGTTATAGTTAGACTGAAAATTGATTTTAAGGGAAGCCATTTGATGATGAAATTGTAACTTCTGTCCTGGTGCGGTGGCTCACACCTATAATCCTAGCACTCAGGAAGGCCAAGGTGGGAGGATCGCTTGATCTGAGGAGTTCGAGACCAGCCTGAGCAAGGGCAAGACCCCATCTCTACTAAAAATAGAAAAAATTAGCTGGGCGTGGTGGCGTGCACCTGTAGTCCCACTCGCAAGGCTGAGGCAGGAAGACTGCTTGAGCTCAGGAGTTTGAGGTTGCAGTAAGCTATGATGATGACAGTGTACTGTAGCCCAGGAGCAGAGTGAGACCTTGTCTCAAAAAAAAAAAAAAAAAAAAGAAGAAGTAATAAAGAACATGGGGTAAATAGGGGTAAATATAGGGTTAAATGTACATGAACAGTAATTGCATATAAAAATAGTATTAACAGTGACTTATAGGTTTAAATACATGGTGACAATAACATAATAAAATAATACAATGCATGTGAAGTAGTCTAAGGATTATATTTTGTCTGGTAAGAGAGAAAAGATATTGCTTAATTTTAGACTTTGATAATTTAGTATACAAGCCATAATTTTTTAGGGTAACCACTAAAAGAATAGGAACTAACTAGTGGAGGGAAAATGGAATGATTAAAAAAATTATCAACCAAAAACAGGCAAGAAAGGAGAAAAAGAAACCTAGAACAGGAGAAACATAGAAAGTACAAAGAAAAATGGTGGAATGAATCCAAATGTATTAGAAATTATATTAAATAAACATGGGCTAAATGAACAGTAAAATGCAAATATTGTCAGACTGGATAAATTTATATATTTGCTGTTTATGAAACATATCTAAAATGCAAGAATATAATATGTTGAAAATAAAAGAGTGGAAAAATATTGGATATACAAATACTAACCAAAAGGAAACTGGTGTAGCTATATTATCATTAGGCAAAATAAACTTTATGGAATAAAGCATTATTGGTGATCACTTTACAGTAATAAAAGCTTCAATTCACCAGGAAGATATAACAATTAAAATTATGATGCACATAGTAGTATAACTTCAAAATATATAAAGCAAACATTGACAAAACCACAAGGAGACAGCCAAATATACACAATCATAGTGAAGATTTTAACACAATTCTCTCAGTAACTGATAGAATAAGCAGCTCAAAATGTTAGTAAGATTATAGATGATTTGAATAACATGATTAGCACACTTGACCTAATGGACATATTTAGAAAGCTGCACCCAACAACTGTAGACTATACACTTGGAACATTTATAAACATCATCCATATGTTGGGCCATAACATAATTTTCAACATATTCCAAAGGGTTGAAATACATAGCATCTTCTGAGACCACAATAAAAGTAAATTATAAATCAATAACAAAAACATTACTAGAGTATCACCATATATTAGGAAGTAAGGCACATACTTTTAAGTAACTCATGAGTCAAGGGAAAAAAATCCTAATCTAAATTAGAAGTTTTTTTGGTATTTAATGATAAAAATGTACATAGCAAACTTGTGGGATTAAGCTACAGCCTCTTTTCAAGAGGAAAATATGTATTGCCTTAATTGTTTATGTTAGAAAAGAAGAAAGGCTAAAAAAAATCAGAGTTAAATATTCATGTGAAGAAGCTACCAAAAAACAAAACAAAACAAAACAAAACAAACCCGACAACAAACCTCTCCCTACAAAAAAAAAAAAAAGAAAAAAAGAAACAGCAAAATAAATCCAAAGAGAAGGAAAAGGACACAAATTAATAAAATAGGAACAAAAATTTAAGAGGATCAGCCAGGCACGGTGGCTCAATCCCAGCGCTTTGGAAGGCCAAAGCAGGACGATCTGCTTGAGGCCAGGAGATCAAGACCAGCCTGGGCAACATAGAAAAATTTCATCTCTACAAAAAATTAAAAATAATTAGCCAGGCATGGCGGCACAAGCCTGTAGTCCCAGCTCCTCGGGAGGCTGAGGGAGAAGGATGGCTTGAGCTCAGGAATTTGACGCTGTAGTGAGCTATAATAGTGCCACTGCACTCTAGCCTAGGTGACAGAGTGAGACCCTGTCTCAAAAAAAAGAGAAAAATCAATAAAGATAGACATTGGATCTTTTAAATGACTAATAAAATTGACAAATCTCCAACAAGACTGATAAAAAGCTGGGGAGCACATGTCACCAATTTCAAGAATAAAGAGGGGACAGTCCTATGGATGCTATGTGCATTTAAAAGATAGGAGGATATTAGGAACAACTTTATGCCAATAAATTTGAAATTTTAGGTGAAATGGGCACTATCTAAAAAA